ATGAAATAGTTACGAAGCGTACACTTCAATATCTATCTCTGTTTTGTTATTATTAATATTAATATTATTATTACATATATTATCATTATTATAGTTTAAGGTCTTTAATATAATTCATAATATGTTATAATATGCCGTATAAATGAAGTAATATAATTAGATGTTTCGATATGCATTTACCTCGCTACTTAACATATTTACGATACGTATCCACAATTTGCCGCAGCAGAATAAAATTAAACTGATTGTGGGAGACTGCGATCTCTTTTGTAGTCCGGAATCAATATCATTTTGGAATATCAATAAGATAATTATTAACAAGAAGTAAATATCGAAGAGAAACCATGAAGGAATCACAACGCTTTTGTATGCACAAGCAAAAGGAGGCGCTACCATTAAAATGCAGCGTGTTGGTCTGCAATCAGATCGGTAAGATTCCTAACCAAATCCAAAAGTAGTAAAGGATATAAGCTTGCGTCAAACTAGTTACACATTTTGTGGATATTTCTAATCATTCTCCTTTAATAATAAATGTGTTAAAATAATCAAATACGTATCGTTTTTCTAGAAATATTCGCATGAAAGTATAAATTAATTATCATTTGTAATTATTTCACTGAAATAAACCTTGATTGCGTAAAGTTACGTGTTGTCGTTCTTATGTTATATACATTTTCTTATATTGCTAATAATGACGAATAATGAATTTGACGTATATTTAAATAAGTATAGAATGCAGGAGACAAACGGAAACAGTTCCTAACCATTGCTAGCCGCACGACTGCATTCGAACGCTAGGCACGTGACTTTGTTACGAGATAACGCTACTTCCGAATTTATACGCAACCTCCGCCTTAGAGACTGCGGATTCGGATTCCCTAATTAACGAACGAGAGAGAAGACAAAGCGCGATTGCCGCTCTCTCTCTCTCTCTCTCTCTCGCCTACGGATGTCACATATAGTTAATTTTACATATTTGAGATATATGACGCAAACCAAGTCAATTGTCCGAACAGCAAATATATTTGGAAACTTAACTCCTCGCGATCTTAAGTCCATCATCATCAGTAAAATTAAAATCTAATTGCCTTCTGATATCCCCTTAATATGATTGACGAACAAACCAACATAACACATCCATGTTTCTATTCATAAAATAATAAATTTATCACAATATATGCATCTTCCAATATCTGATCGCTAAAAACTAAAACAACTTCAGAGTAGAATAAAAGAAATTTATTTTTACCAAAACGACAAAATAAAAAATTCACTTTAGTATTTCAAAACTTACAATAATAAAAAGAACATTTTCATTAAAACAACTTTCCATTACATTCAAGTTAAATTTCAAGGTTTCGTACTAAAGAATATACGTTAAATGCTAAAAGTATGAATGTTAAAAACAAAAAAAGTTAAATTGTTTCAAAAGAAAATTAATGATGTTGTAATACACAAGAGACATACTCGCCATTAAATAATTAAACAACTGAAATTAATAATTTAAGAAAAAAGTGAGTATCCTTTGTCCTGTATTTAACGCAATCTAGGTAGTGGTAAACGACGGAGGAAATCCTGGCCGGTGTTTAAAAGCGCTTCTAAACGTCCGGCGACAAAAGGTCAAAGGATCGAATATCCAGATAGCCCGCGGTAATTTGAATACGGTAGTTTGAAATAAAAGGTCACGCGAAAGCAGGACAAAACGGATCTCTGTGTACAGACGACGTATGGCGGCTAATGGAAGCCGGAGGAGGAATCACGGGTGGAGGAAGAAGCACGGATGGTACAGGGGGAAAATCAAGGGACAGAGGGAGGATGAGATGAACGGGGCGGTGAGGGGAGGGCGAGAGGACGAAGGGGAGGACAAAAAGGGGCCGGGGGTGGATACGACGAAGCGACAGAAGAGAAGACTCGATTACACGTCACCAGCAGCCCGGAGCCTATTTCGTCGCAATCGGTTTTTCATTACCAAAAGCTTCACCGGGCTTTATACCAAATTGTACATTCGGCGACCCTTGTAAAACTCACCGGGATTCCGCGGACGCACCGAGCACCCCGGAATCGCGGGGTAGCGCATAATTGATCATCTCGGTGCATACATCTCGCGTGCGTGCTGCCCATAATTTCCGTCAAACGCGGGATAAAAGTACGCGAATACACCGGATACCATTCAAATCTTCAATTCGCGGAAATGGATTGTGCATCAAAGCTAAAACACGATAAATCGACATGTCGATTCTGGCTCTCGTGAAATTCATGCATCCCACAAGTTTCCGACGATAGTTTTGCATCTCTCGCGTGTCATTAAAATTTTAAATGATACGAGCTGAATCTGAGAGCTATTTCGCGTTGAAAAGTGGCGGAAACGAAAACCGTCCGTAATCATATACTGTATACTTATGTTAAAAGTAACTATTTTGTTTCAAGTTTTTCCGAATATCTTTAAAAAAAAAATAATATATAAAATGGTAAACGGTATAGTTAACAGCAGTCCAATTAATAATCTTGTTAATTCGATAGTATTAATGAAACAATTACGTCACAATTTTTGTTCTAATAAAATGTTATTTCTCTAATATACTGTTGCAATAGATCGACGTAACGCCGAGAATTGTGCGTTTGTTTTTCTGATCCGAGTTCAAATCCGACCAAAAATATTGAATTCTTATTCGATCGCTATCTCTTCGAAGACAATGGGAAATCACCAAAAGTATCTTTGCCAAGACAGTCACCATGGAGCACGCGTGAGTATGCATCAAATAGGGACCACGATCTTCATTTAGGACCAATAATTTAAGGGAGAATACTATTATTGAGTTAATACAATTATTTTTAATTAGTCTGCTGTTAAATGCAATATCATTTTTTTCTAAACATGTAAATATAAAGTTTATGTTATAGATCATTTTGATTTTTAAATTATGTAGCTACATTTGCAAGATATCTTATTTTTTGCATGATCCAAAGTATAGCTGTGACAAAGCAATTATTATACATTAAAGTTTATGAAAAAATAAATGTGGCGAAAATATCATGGCAAAAGTTGTTTCTTATTAAATTCTTGTAAGAAAATTATTATATTTTATTTATATTTTGCTATATTATTTTTATTAGAAATATTTTATTAGACTCTCGCGTAAGAGAATTCTTTTATATAAAACAATTACATATTTTTAATTATTCTCTTCTCACAAATTTAATAAAAATAATAACATTGTTAAAATTTAAACATTATGTATTAGCTATATACATACATATGTAATTTAACATGTTCAGTGCCGGCTAAATATTATAGGTAATTTTTTTCCTTTATATTGTCAAAATGCAGTATTTAATATATTAATGCCTTTACAAATGTGTTGTTTTACGAAAATATAAAAGATTAAATTTTCCTACCATTTATTTAAAAAAAAACATTCCCAGGTAACATCTGTCACTGCAAATAAGACGTCTTTACTGTCTTTCCATCATATTATACCGCATCGGCAGTGAACGCGTTAAGAAGTAGTTAACTTTTTACTTCTCAGAAAACCGACATTGTCCGTTTCAAGTTTTGCATTTAGACTTTGGAAGACTATGAATTCATACAATTTGCGACTATATGAAATTCAGACCCTATATATAATTACAATTATTTCGCGCGTATACATACCTAAATTAATTCGTCCGTTCGACGGGCCGGCCGGCACTTTTAATACCCGATTGCACAGTGCGCGGTGTAGCGAGAAAACGGTATAAAGGTGTGCACGCAACGATTAACCGATTATGTTATTGACGGAACGTGTCAAACACACGATTTCGACCGAGCGGACACAGCGCGGACGCGCGGCAACGTTTTGGCACAAACGGCGCGGTTTACCCGCGTTACCCGTTATCGCGCGCGCCGATTAACCGCTTTTAGGACGATCTTTAGCGCATTACACGCGACACTTTATTCGCCGCACTCCACGTTTATATTCGCACGCGAGCACTGCTTTTTGATGTAACCGAAACCGCGATTCGAAAGCTCGCGTGCCGGCGGCGACGCGAAACCACGCGAACGCGCGAAAACAATATGGCGACGGAAGTTTCGCGGGCGCGCGTGCGCGGCGCCACGGGGCTCACACGCGGTCACGGGCGCCGCGCGCTATCGTTAATCGCAATTAGCGATTTTCCTTTTTCGCTATCACATTACGCGGCTCGTTATTACAGTTTGGCGAAATGTCACGTCGCCTGACGTTCCATTTCGCCATCATTTGCACAAAAGCGCACTTTTGACGAGCGATAAACGAGTGAAGTATGCAGCGCGTTCATCGAGGCAATATTTCGCCTGTATTTCACGAACAAAGCCCGCTTCAGACGCAATAATTCGTGCCGGAATTCACGATAGAATTCTATTTGTAGTGTTATGAGCCGTGTAATAAACGAAAAAGCGAGTTAAAATGTTAGAGTATGCGCGTGTACACATGCGCGTAAAATGTATATTAAAATACACGCGAAATTTACAAATTTATTACAAAATTATAAGTAGCATTGTATCCGACCAAAATTAAATATCATTCAAAATTGGAACTAAGATTTGATATTAAATTGTATTAACAAAGAAGATACTAATTTCATGAATTCGGCAACTTATTTTAAAATAAATAAAGGTTCGATCAATTTTTTAAGCAGTATATATATTAATCTAGAGACTATATTAAACATCAATAAATAACAACATCAACTTAGATGGCTTAGATACTGGAATATATAAATATAACTAAATATAGCACTTGACGAGTAATTACTCGCCTTGAGTTCTTACATATAAATATATAATTACATAAACAAATGTCACCTAAATATTTATCAGTTTCATTCTATTAAAAAAAAATGAAGACGTCAATAGGTACAAATAATTATTTGAAAATATTTATAAGCAGTTTCTCCTAAAAGATACATTACCTGCCATCTTACAGTGTTATAGTAAAACTTGTACCCGTTTTAGTACGAATTTACGACTACAGATGGAGATAGGATTCCGTCTTTTTTTCTGACAATCTTTGTGCGCGTGTTGCGTGGAGCAGATCAACAGCTGATCGTTTATTTTGGACAAAGCAAGAAATACGCGTGTGTGCATTCGATCAAGTAATAAAACGCAATTATCAAATCATTATCGTGTTTCATTGTCGGCCATTTTTTCGTTGTGATAAATTTCCGCTGTAAGAACTGCAAAAAGGCTGAAATCTAAAGGGGTGGATTTTTATGGCTCAAATCTGCAAAAGAGATACAGAAAAGTATACAGAACATACACGTAATTAAGCAGCGGAGAACGTCGCCAGAAGCATGTCGACTTACGGCTCATCGGAGAGTCTTACGATCAAGCAGCCCATTAGACGTCTGGAAATTCAGATCAATAATTTCAACGTCGCTATTCCGCATCATGTAAATTTGTTAAAGCGACATAAGAACAATATCAAGAAGGTATAAACTTGCACGTTTTACATATCTTGTACTTTTAGAGTCTTTGTTACGAGCAATTAAAATCTTTGCTTTCCACGCATTCTTTGCAGTTTCAAGATCAGCACGATTGGGAACAGGTACGGAAGGAACATGTGAATGTCTCTCGGATCATCAAGCAACTGAAGGAGTTGCTGTACCAGATGGACACTCTTAGAGCACAGGTCCTCGACGTTGACATAGGTAAATTTGACAAATTGACGACAAAGGCACGGGCAAGCATCATGAACGCGATCGAGGAGTACTTAGGTAAGTAACGTAACGTACTCTCCTATTCATACTCTATTTTCGTAAAAATTCTAAGACACTGATATGGAGATGCAAATGTGTATTTTACAGAGATGGAATTAAATTTTCCGACATCACCACCTGTGTCGCCTGCAAGCGAGCCACACGAGACTCAGCATCCACTTGAAGACAGTGGCATCCAATTGCAAGCAGAACAGGAAGACTTACAGCGTCAACAGACATGTCTACATGTTTGGAATCGTCTGCAGGGGGAAATACAACAGTTGCACGAGCTCTTTACGGAATTTAATAAAGTTGTGCATGTGAGTATATAATTTCATTTTCACGTCACGTGATAAATAGATAATTAAATAAAAAGTGAAGTTTTTTTGTGCATTAGCACGTGGGAAGGGCAAACAGAGTTTGTTGGTTTTTATTATTTAAATGGGTATTTTATTTTGTGACCCATACAGGATCAGAAAGAGATGGTAAATAATATGGAAGATAATATTGAAGAGACTCAAATCAACGTGAACGAAGGTGCAAGATACCTCCAGAAGGCTTCCGCATATAAAGTCGCTGCTTATCCCCTAGCAGGTGCTATGCTAGGCACGTGTATCGGAGGACCAATAGGTCTGTTAGCTGGACTAAAAATTGGCGGCCTTGCTGCCGTGGGTTGTGGTATTTTAGGTAAGTTGAATAAATTTATATGAAATTAAAATTTTGCATATTGAAATAATTATATGAATAATTAGATGAGACATGACGGAATATAAAGTAAAGAATTAAGACAGAATTAAAGTAAAGTAAGCAATTATTCGTCTTTAGGTTTCACAGGAGGATCATTATTGAAAAAGAAACAGATAGACTCGCGAAAACAAGAATCGCGTTTAAGTGATTCGACAATAGATCTAAGAAATGTTAAGAAATCTGCCTCTTGTCCTGACGATTTAAAACTAGATAAAAAACATTTGTGACAAACGATGACTTTCTCGACATGCGATATTAATTTTAAACATAAAAAGAAATGCACTGTTATATAATTGTAAATTGCTGGGATGCTTGTACATTATTCTATTTTTTGTGGATATATTTTTTATTTGTACATAAAAGCTATAAAAATTTTGTAAAGCTACATAGTTTAAAAATTCTTTGAGAGATTCATTTTTTAATTTTTAACATAGTATTTATATAACTTTGTACGCTTAAAAAGCAATGACTAGTCTTCTTCAAAGTGTAAATTTTTTAAAATATATCTCTATTTAATAATATGTTATATTATAAAATTATTGTACTTTTTACTGTTGTCATAGAACTTTAAAATATGAGCATGGCTTAAAATTAGGCTAAAGATATCTCTTTTAAAAAAGTAATGACTTTTATACATGCCTATCGCGTGCCTTGTAACTTGCGTGCTTTAAATCGTTGAAATATTTATCATCCATAACTTTTTGAATATTGCGGCAGCTTATAAATTGCTTTTCTTTTGAATTAATACAACGATTACATATCCGAAAATAAAACTTAATAAATGAAACACAACACAATAAAAATGTTTATATTAACAAAAATTATATAATTAACTTTATATATTTTGCACTTTAATATAAGTGATCTCGAAAAATATTTCTTTCTATACTTTAATCAAAAAAATGTGTGTTATGTAAAATATAAAAACTATTGCGTTGATCATGTTACGAACAAATCAAACTATTTGTAGAGATTTTACTACGTACAAAATACTCTATATGCCGAAATGGCGATTGTAATAATCAATCGAAACATATGAAACATCGAAATATTTATTCCGGCAAATAATTACATACTGGAAATGGTAGACATACGTGGTAGATAATACGGTTGTGATAACGTTCACAAAAACATTTGAGTTCTCTACAAAAGGCACCCAATACAGTATATTTAGCAAGTAATAAAATACATCGGTGTTAGACACATTACAATACTGAAATAATCGTGTGTTATTAAATGTAATATATACATGTCATTTATAATGGAGATACTTAATCTAGAGACTAAAATGTTCTACTTAAAAAAATATTAATAAATATCTAAGAACGTGTAATATTAAGTGACTATCGGCATATTTTCTTATTTAAGGTACTATGTTGTTATTATTGTTACTCCAACATCCCTAATTCAAAAGCAACACCAAACACGCATTCACAGACATGTGGAAAATAGAGATTGTTTTACTTTCTTTTCGCTTAGTTTTACTTTCGAAGCTCGGGATGCTCAGCCAGGTGCACCGATGTACGTATGGCATATTAATGTCATAATTTAAATTCAGATTAACACAATTAATTTATTAACACAATTAAACGTTTGATTGAATATCAAAATAATTAAATATAATTCGTAATAAAATAGGGTGCATCGGACTGTGCCAAAATTCTTTGTAGTACTCTATAATCTACGTCTACATCTTCTAAATACTTGCGACTTTTGTCCTCACACAAAGGATATGAAATAAACAGTTTGGTCACTATCCATAAGGTACTTACAATACCTTGATAGACCTTGGCAATAAAGATGGCTAATTAATCGATTTATTTGGAAGCAAGTGTAACAATGCAGAATCACATATTGACAAACAGCTATTATTTTACTCATATTTACTCCAATCAAGAGTTAAGGACTGTCTAAAGATTCATGAAATTGATCTCTTAATTCTTTCGTTTCTCAAATATTATCTTTTAAAATTGCTTGATTGCACTTTTTACAGATTTTAAAAGTAACATATTTATTATACTTACAAAAATATTACTGGTTAGCCGTTAGGTAAAGAGCGATTCTGCATAGTTGAATTCATTGATTTACGAAAGAAAACATTGTAGTGTGAAAAAATACGTAGTGTGGATTGTCTTAAGGCAAGCTTACCATTCTAATAGATCCTAAGCTATTCCAAAACATTTATCCACACATGTATAAAAACAAAAATTTATTTCTTAAACATAATAGTATTTAACAAAAGGAGAAGAAATTTGGCTTTCGAGTACAGGCCAGAGTTAGATTTACATCTCTACGACGGGTGATAAAGGTTTTACAAATGACTCTGACATAAAAAGAATATAATATTATATTAATATATATATTTGATATATATATAATCTGGAAATAATATATAGACTATCGGTTATATTACTTGTGGCTACATTGTATAAACCTTTGATATTACATTATTTTACAAATTGGTATGTATGTGTGCGCATTGATTTGACATTCCTGAATATATAATCCATAATCAACTTATTAGATGCATCTCTCTTCTCGAGAGATAACACCAATATAATGGATGATAATTAAGGAAAATATATATACTTTCTTCAATTTCTGTATGAATCGCGTCTCTAAGATGATCATATATTTTCCTTAATATAATACGATAAAAGCGCGAACACAATGTGGAATTGAAATATTACTATTTATTAACTATAATATAAATAAATGTATATAAAACTCTCTTCTCCCTCTCGCTCTGTCGTAAGTCATCGGAAATTTTCACGACATTTTCCGCCGCTGTTATCAGGAATGCCAATGTAAATGAGGATGGCGACAAGTGCATATCGTTTATGGTACTGTAGCATACCTCGACATGTGAGCGTTTTACATTTGATAGAACATGCTTGTCTCGCGTCTTCTTGAGCACGTTGGTAAAATTAAATAGACGGAATAAGAAAATACACGTTGCCATTACTTTAGAAACCAGCTATTGGTGAGCTTCACAAGTAACAGCTTTACGATCTCATAAATCTGTGGATATTTTCGAAGCGTATCAAAAGATAGATTCACAGACGGATTCACTTGAAAGTTGAACGTTAAAATTCGGTACCCCATCTCTCCGCAAACTTTAAGAATAAAAATCTACGTTTATGTAATGCGATTACAAGTTCGTAGCTGGGCACACGTGTTAAGCGTAATGCGGCGACCTACCGAATTGCATGCGACTTTTTATATTTTTCTCATTTTTCGTCGTTAAACTATATAGTTGCTCAAGGATACAATGTATTCTAGTGCTACAGTACGCGTGCGACGATATTATACCTCATTGTACCTATCTAAAATATGCCACGGTAATGTGCTACGTCTTCGCAATCATAACACAACAAGTGAATCAATGATAAGACTCGCTATTTCCCGATGTTCCCCGTGTCGAGGAAAGCTCATAGATTAATAGACAAGTCTTGGTCGTAAGATGTGAGATTCGTATCCGTCGAGGAAGCAGGGGTAACCGTTGCCGCTGTTGCGCTGGTTGGCGACTGCAGTGGGGTGGAGGTCGTAGGTAGATGCGACGTAGGACTCTCCAGAGTTGAATTCCAGTGACTTCTCTCGGTGCCGTCACCCCCGTCGTCCGACACGATTGATATATCGGCGATAATACCGCTTTCTACAGTGAGAATATTAATGTCATAAATTAGTGGCGATTTAAAAAAAAAAAGATCACCGAGATCGAAGCGTGATACTCACCAACGCTACACTGGCTGTTCAGTGTAGTACTACGATGATGCGGTCGTGGACTCGTATCTAATCCAAGATTGAGCGTCGTAGGAGGACCGCTGCTTCCACCGCTGCTCGAGGACGAACTAACGGAAATTACGCTGTGCGGCCTTCTGCTGCAACGACTGGAATCCTCCGTCATCGACACCGCTATGGAGTTTCTAAATCTGGGTGCTGTACAGGCAAATTGAAATATTTGTTTTAATATTCAGCAATGCAAGCGAATAAGTTATCGACAACTCGTGAATTACACTCACTCTTGGAGAGTTGAGCCACACTGATGGAGCGATCATTTATCTGATCTGCACTAGGCCTTATATCTAAACACGGCTTATTCCCAATGCCCATGCTCGACATTTCCGCCAGGCGCACTTCTACAAAGTGAAACATTATTGATAGTAATTCGCGCTCTCGCAAATATATAAAATTTTTATTTTTTAATAAACATAGCAAAGATGCTGAATCACCTCTGTTTCGAAGCGCCTGCTTCCACAGGAGGTTACTGAGTTCCTCGGTCCAGGCTTTCTTAATATCCTCACTCGCGCATTGCAACGTGTATGTATCTCCTGGTTTCCTCTTGCGGAACCAGATCTCGAATTTTGTAGGCGAATCCGCGATAACGGCAGTTAAACCGATATCTGTCGTTTTAATGCTATGTTTGTAGATGTAAATATCAAGGTTCTGAAAAAAATATACATATAAGTATAACGAAATGAAGCAAAAATACAGAAAAGTGTTAAGATGCACGCGGAGTAATATGTAGAAAAAGCTTACCTTCCTATCGGGGAATCTTCTTGCCTTACTAAAGAGTATAAGATCTTCGAACAGGAAGACTTGACGCAGGCATTTTTTGCCTTTTCCTTGCCAGACTAAAAATTCGTTTTGCCGCAACAGCCTGCCTTGTTCTTTCACATTTACCTGTAAAATAATATCATTGTCTGTTACATTATGCAATATAATTATGTTATTATAATCCTTATTCGTTTATTAAAATGGATAATTATTTTATTTTATTCTAAGCAATGCACAATAACAAAAAAAAAACTTACGTCGCAATCACGAAGCGAATCCATCGCCAAAAGATCGTTCCCGTGCCGAAGCTGAAATCGCACCATCTGCTCGGCAGCCCTCAAATCCGCTTCACCTTCGACCATCGGTTTCATACCATCTTCCTTCTCTTCTTTCTCCTCTTTGCCGGATAATTGTTCCGATAAATCTGTGCCGGCTTTGACCAGCTGTTGAAGTAGCAAAGCGTATTTTCCCATTCGCTGAACCGGCTTCAGTAAGTAACTAGCCAAGTCCATTTTATCTCCCAACTCTAATTGTTTCTGTTTGAAGAAACTCGTGCCGTATTCCGCCATTAGCGAATCGGAATTTGGTTTATTCTTATTGTACAAGGCGTAAAGATAGAATTTCTTCTCCTGCAAGAAATTTTGTTTTCACGTGACGTATCACTTTTGTATGCTTGGAACTTTATCGAGAAGTTCGATTTAGTTATGCTTACGTGTCGGAGGAAGCATTGTCCCACCAGCATGGGCGATTGCTCGCACTGCTCTAGTTCGCGTAGAAAGTGTTGACTGTGAAACTCGTATATCTTCTCAACATTCCCGAAGATCACGTTTCTCTGTCCTCTGAGCGCCTGCGGGATGTCCTCCCGCACGAGTTCCGGAATATAGTTCTACGCAAGAAAGTTTACAGATGTTACGCTCAGCACGCGCGATAAATAATGAAATTACGCGAGAAATAAACTTTAACGACGCGCATATATAATAATTACCTCTATTATATACTCGAGGGACTTCACGTAGTCTCGTTCAGTCTGTATCATCTCCCTCATTATGAGCAGTATTGTTCTGCAAGGTGAAATTCTTCGTTAACGACGTTACGATCGTATAACAATCGGTGCGATGGCATAACGGAAATTACGGTGGAACAATGGGTCGCTACTAAAATAGCTATGACACAGCAATAAAATGTCGCACCTAGAATACTAATGACTTCATTGCACTGTTCCATTTCACAGTTAATTCAAAATATTCCTTTAATTCGTTTTATCAATATCAATTTTCGACTTTTTTTGGAAAATTTTAGCTGCAAACTGATCTCGGAGAACGGTCAAAGGGATAAAAAAAAAGATAGAATTTCTTCTATTTTTTTTCTTAGATAGAAAAGATTGGTATTAAAGATGTACAAGCATCGTACTTTTTCGCCTTCATTCCTGGCGCGATACTGGCCGATCTGTGAAGATGCGAGTTCACCGGCGGCTTAACCAGCCTCCGCGGTGGCGGGCTTCGCGGAGGTGTACGCGGTGGCGAGCAGTCCAGAAGTTGCTCGGCACTCTCTCGAAGCTCGGCGATGTTGTCCAGCACCGGTCGACCACCGCTACCCCCTGATCCGACGCTTTCCATCGGACAAGCATAAGACGCGCTGCTGTCGCTATCGTCCCAGGACGTCCCTGGAACACGTATTATAGTTCCAACTTATATGGATATTCTTCTATACGACGAATCTAGGAAAAACGAAGGAAAAGAAGAAGTCTCACTTTTAGCCAGGGTGTCGTCCCAGGAGGTCGATTCGGAGGCGGTGAAGGATCTTCTCCTCGCAGGACTTCCCGGGGCGGACGTGGTCCTGGCGCTCTCGAGGGCTTCCGCGCACTTATTTCGCGCGATGCGACATTGCTCGAGAAGGACTTCATTACCGAGTTTCTCCGCCAGGGCTATCATCTCGGTGAAATGTTCGGGTGGCAGAGGCGGCCTCGCCATCAGGAATTGCTGGGACCTCCTCTCGCTCGCCAGGCGAGCCTCCTGCGCCCACTCGTAGGCGCGATCCTGCAGGAGGCAGCATCTCGACGTGTCCTCCAGGTACTCCCGTCTGTCTTCCAAGCGAGAGCCGAATCCTCGTAGGTGCTGCTTCAAGGATCTCGCGAGCTCCCGAAGTCCGCTCGTGCTCGCCGCCTCGGCAAGATCGCTTCCCTTGTCCAAGTGTCTCTGTAACACACAAAGAAGAACACAAATCAAAATGGCAAATGACACTCGTGCAAGTGTTTCGATTGTAATCCGCGCGCGAAATATAATTAATTCGGGCGCCGTATATTTTCTTTTGCGTTGCAAATTATTGCCCCGGAAAGTTCCATCCGGAACTTCATCTAGAATTTCATTTAGAACTTCGCGATGAATACGAGACTGTAACGGAAGCCAGACAAATATTTCATTCCTGCACCAACTCATAACGAAGGGCGTGATAAAGGACAAGAATCTGCCGTCTCCCGATGAGACGATATCCCCGGGTCCCGCCTGCGCGCGCGTCGGAGAGTTGCGGATCTCCCGCGGTGCCCGGCGGACCCGTCCCTAATGGAGGGGGCCATAAATCGACATATGGGGGTAAATAATGTCGCGATAAGCCAGGGGGGTCCGTACCGGCCGCCACCGTACAACACCGTCAACTCTCGTTTGGACGGATAACACATGCGTTTACACAGAAAATCCCGCGCGCATACGGCTCGTTCCGCCGGCGTATCGCATCTCTCGGCACGATGATACACGTACTCTCTCTCGCATTCGTGCGAGCGTGAAATCCACTTAGACACGGCTCGGCTGCATCCTGGAGCACGAACCGCCCGATCGAGTGTCCGTGACGAAAGACGCTCTCGTATCTCCCGTCCCACGATAGCACGGGATGCGCGATGCGCGATCGTGCGAGAAAGACCGTTCGTCGGCGGGAATCGTATATGCGTTCCACGCACGGTTACGCGTAATATCGACGATGTAACGCGCTCGTGATAAGTCGTCCGCGACTGAAAGAAATTTCTCCGGGCGATTTACTTATTAGGTATACATAATAACGCATTAATATGCGATCGACGACGCTTCGGGATGAGATGTGCGGGGGAAAAGACGCTCAAGGAGAGACTTCTGTATGAAGAAGAAAGTATTTCGCACGTAACGTCGATTGGCGTATGATGATACGCGTCACACGTTGCACCCTGATAAAATATCACGTCTCCCGCAGCGCCGTGAGACACTTTAATATCGTAAGTAGAAAGTGTGCGGTACGTAAGCGCTTTAGACGCGTTAACCATGCTGATGTCATGGGCAGGGAAGAGAAATGCGTGAAGTTCGAATATGAATGACCTGTGGGGAAACAGTGGGCATAAGCTATTAAAAGTTTCATTGCACTTTTACAATAGTTATTGTATGTACTCTTACTACATTTTATTATGCGGTAAGACGATAGTATTTGTAGATTATAAATTGCAAACGTGAATGAAACGAACTATTTTATTACATCTTGAAGTATCTCACTTAATTCAAATACTGGCAAGAAAACAAAGAAGTATAGATAAAAAAAGACAATGTTTTTATTTCATTGTTTTCCAAGAAGACCGGTTGACGTATTTCTGACGTATTGAAAGTGTATTTGTTAAGGATATTTACAACGGCAAGTGCACATTAATCTTCAACAATAATCGCACATTAATCTTTTAAGGAACCAGACATTACTTGTTAATTCGGCGATAAATCTTGTACTGTATCCCATAAATTTATAAATCAAATTCTGTCTCGTTCTTGGGAATATAATTACACAAAACGACTGTGTACCTTTTTTCACGATCGATCACTGAACGCGGCACGCGTTACGCGGGATGATCTTCGTTCACCCTGACGGCGTTCGTTCACGTACGTGCACGTGGCTGACTCCCCCAAGAATCTCGAATTATCGGAACTATTTTTTCCCTTCGCCTCACGCGCAAGCACGAGACTCGTGAGAGAATTATGTGGCACGTGCAATGCTGTATTTTTTCACGCTACTAGTAGGTATTCTCAAGTACTGAATAGCAGTATCAATATATCAATATTAATCACGTGTGCACAATCCACATAGGGTAAAGAATATCGTTCAGTTAATTTATCGCATTATCCTTTATAATAAAATTTTACTTTTCACATTAATTTTATTTTTCAAGTTATTACTAAATAGCGCGATAAATTTCGTATACCTACTTCATTCTCATCTGCCACACTAAACGCCTTGATTCTCTTAAGATAATTCATATCGTGCGACCAAGGTAATATTTTTAAAAATCATTTTCTCGGAAGTAAACTTTGATAAAACTCATCCTGCCGAAATCGTCTCGGTATAAAATTTGCATATGATCCTCTCGATGCACACGTCGGTGTAACGTAATTACAAACACCGTTGCAAACCGGATTTCATAAAATGATCGTCAATCAAAATCGTAAATCAACGTAAATTCACGCGTGTGTCGACAATATTTTTTTTCGTGCGGTTGACGCACTTTCCAATCAGGATATTGAATCTTCTGTCGAAACAGATCGATTCGCGCCCGGTTCATCTTCATGATTATAAGCGGTTTGTAGAGCACGTGAAATATTGCTCCAGGGGTCATAATATATCTCTCCCTCTTTCTTCTCTTTCTCCTCGAGTCGTTTAATCAGAGGGACCGTTTCGGCACAGGGTATAATCCTCTCCGAATAGGCGTGCGACCCTTTCACGCATTGTAGATGCGCGTGCACATATATAGGGGCGATTATTAAATTTCATATACCCAACAGCACACACGCCATTATCTCGCGGCACAGTCCATTAAAAGTCCACGTGTGATATCGCATTTTCTACTTCCGCTTCCGAAAGTGCTTCGCGTGCCTCGCGGTGTCGTTAATTGTTTGCCTACACAAGAAAACCAACCCGCATTTTTATGAAAGTTTGCCAATGACTTGTTAATTTATTGTTGCGCCCTCATTGCGACGCGCACATTCAGACTACCGCAAATCCTAGATCATCGTGAAAGTGTAATTGTTGTTTAACTATACTTAGATGTTAAAAGATCATCAAATAAAACACGTGAAATAATAGACACAATGCAACGCGTTATGTGTGCATATGAAGCTTCAAGTCCTCGACATGATTGTTTAAGCTGTACAACAATTTCCTCGTGCAACTGTATATTGAATATAAATGAGTGTAATCAAGCATGATAAATTATGATAATTGCATTCAACTGACGCAAATTGCTGCATCATTGTATAAGAAAGCGCGGACGATGCAAATCGATCGTAAATGCCCAGCTTGAGATGCCTCGACAGCATCGACTATTAAATGTACGTTACCCCCGAAGTTATTCCACAAATTCGTAATAATTATTACAACATGAAAATAGTACGTACGAATAATATCAGTACGGTGATTTGTGATTATCACGGCGGAATGTAGAAAGGTGCCTCTCAGAGCGTAATTGTTGAAGCGTGAAACCAGATTAGCTAAAAACGTGACCAACCTCGCAAAATGCATAGATTCGTGCCTTGCTTGCGAACGGTCGCGTCGAAACGGCGCTTGCTTATGTCCGCGCGTCCATTAATTGGCACGTATCGTTGATTACCATAATAGATTGTCAATTAATATCAAGGAAGTTCGTAGGCGCACGGACAAAGACCCCCTGACAGCGCTGAACACACGGCGCCGATTATACTTTCTAATTACGGCAGCACGCTGTATCCGTATTCGCCAAGAATGGAAAGTCCCATTTCAGACAGGAGATTATACTCTCGGTGTCTCGGAAAAGATTTGACTGCGACATATCTCTCTCTCTGCGAGGACTATGAAAGTACCTAATTAACGCATCCCCCTCGATCAAGGATACGCGCATCGTGATCTTTCGCAAAGCGCGGAGATTCGTGTCTTCACGTTTGACGGCTGGAAATAATTATAGCTGGCGTGTGTGCGATTCTCTCTCTCCTAGTATCGCCCCGCGATTGTGTATTTTGGCGTAACGCGGACGTGAGCAGATGCGCGAAGATGATATGCGAAAGAAAACGGGAGCAGAGACCGCGGAGGTTGGGCAAGCGCGGTAAAAATGCAAGTCAGTGCATCGAGGTACTTTAACATCCCGCGGCGTAGTTAATTATAGATGAGCTGTACGGACGCGGCTCTCTATGGACGAATACAATGACTCACATTTCTTGTTTGATCACGGTGGTCTTGCGTGAGGTCCGACTTTAACAGCCATATACGTATCGCGCGCGCTTCGTAAAGCGATGGTATGCTAACAAGTTGAATTCCACCTTGTGATTCAAGCATATCGCAAGTTATTTGTTTCCTACTGCAAACTGCTCGGCCTGTTTGCAAACAGTTACAAGTATTTGATCAACAATATGACCATTTGCGCGCGTACGATAAAGATAATGATAATTCTGAGCACATGTTTAAATCTCGAATCAACTTTGATTAAATTACTTATATCCGAATTGAAGCTCGTAAAACTTTTTAATTATTGGAAACATTCAGGTTGAACAGTATGTTACAGCCTACAAAATGCATAAGTTAGAGCAATTTCTTTCGACAGTATTACGCGCGATGTTCCATTTGCGACTGTCGCCAGACTGTCATCAGTAAATCGACATAGTTGGTTTAAATTGATCTACCCTTCTGCCATCCGATAGTTAGATCCTATTAGTACTATAACAGTAAGAAATAAAAATGGCACGAGACACGTGGCCGCAATATTATCCAATTGTTATCGTAGACTGGGACGAACCTTCAAAGCGACTCTTTAGTGCTCCTCTCTATCACTGTGCTCCATTAAACAACGTTAATTAACCGTTAAAGTAATCATACGTTATCGTTAGCTATGGGCGGGCTTTTAAGCCAAGCATACTTCTTGGCTCTCGTCTTATATGTATACTGGTTGTTCAACCGGTACTTGCAACATTTTTCCCGACTGTTTAACGAACGATAAGACGCAATTAGAAAACACGCTAGGCTGACGATCAGTCGACTGCCGTACGGTTTTCCTAGTTTTACCGGCTCTCTTCGAGATCGTAAATAATTACCGGGAACTTTCCCGTTGATATGGCTAAACAGATCGCGCAGTACATTCATTGCTCATCACTGCAACAGGTTGCCGGCCAACACGGAATGTCACGCAAGAAAAAAATCGCAGCAAAATATACGAACGACTCGTATCACATCC